AGCATAGAAGAATGTTGGAAGTTATTATAATATTATGGAATACTGTCAGTGTATGTTTGTGTGTGTGTGGGGGGGGGTCTGTCTGTCTGTCAGTCAAAAAGTGAAAAATAAACAAAGTAAAACCATGAAACAATGACCAAAAAGGAAAAAAAAGAAAAGAAAAAAGATAATTGTAAGTCATTGAAAGACATTGTGTGTTGTAGTTCTGTTGTGCTTTCGGCGTATGCGTTTCATTCAGCGTGTATATATGATGATGAAATCATGATAGAGAAATCAATAAATTTTGAGAACAAATCAAACTAATCATCAAATAATAGTAATGATAATAATTAAAAAAAAGAGAAATTAACAGAAATTCCAAATCACATAATAATGTTAATGGCGGGGTGAAGCAAGAAAACAAGGAAAAAACAACGGATTGTATCACTGTATGCGTATATGAACACTATTCAGTCAATCGATCATTGTTTCAAGGATAATCCAATAGCCAAGCCTATAATGAATAAAATCAGGATGACTAATCCAAGACAGATACACTTTTTACGTCGTGCTGATTTTCGATGTTTCGTCGCTGTAGTCAGTTGTTCTGTACCACTTTGAACCTAAAAAGTTAAACAAAACAAATAAACAAAGAAAATAGGATTAAATGGAGAAGGAAATCTCAAACGACGAGGTTGTGGAGCTACAATCAATGGGTTGTGTTGCACATGCCTGCCTAGCCATCCATCGTTTTCCTCGACCGACGCGGAATGTTAACCGACTGACATTGGATGGATCAGTTGAAAAAGAGGTAGCTAACGGCGGTCAAACTAAATAATGGCTTTATCAGTCAATGGAATCCACAACAGTTAGTTTAAGCCAGCCAGTCAGCCACATCGGTAGGTGTAGACTTCCTGACTGGTTGGGGTCCTCGGGATGGTAATAAAAACCAATGAAGGCTGGAGAGCAATCGGTGATATGGTTCAAAATCGTTCTCGGTGACGGCTGGCGACTTATAATATCCAATAAGATTCTACTGTTCCTCTTGCCTCATATTTCAGTTTATTATCTCTCTTTATCTTATCTCTTCTCTTGCTTTGTGTGATACATGGGGTGTGGCAACTGGAACTGGTGCACATCTGTGCAAAGTTCTACGATGAAACCAGTCAGTCAGTCAAATGGAGAAGGAGAGAGAGAGACAGAGAGTAAGTGTAGGTTGTTAACTGCTCGGCAAAAATGATATCGTAAGGCTGATGGAGGGTAGACTTTCCGCCCCCTCATGTAGTGACCATGCCTCAGTCAATTATGTACGAATCGCTGTGAGGGCGGAAGTATTCTTACACAAGGGAAAGAGCGAATACGAATGTTCCACACTCACCAGCCGATCTGATGGAAACAGAGAGTTGAAAAACCCTGATTCCAAACCTGTGATGCACATCTGCCACGTGAGCTTGATTCACTTAACCAGCAACTATAGGAGAGGAACTTTAGGCAATGTTCTCTGTTGCTTCCTGGGTCAGATACTTCAAATCAGAGATTGTTTCGGCTTGAACGCTCAAACAGTATCTCAGTTATCTATACCTGTCGGTCAGTTTTCGACATAGAACTTTGCACATATGTGCGGGAGTTCAAGTCGCCACACTCCCTCCTTGTAGCACACAAAGCAAGAGAAGAAAGTAGGAGAAATGCATAATAGAGACAGTAAACAGAGGTGTGAGACAAAGGAATAGTAATAACGAAGAACAAAACAGTTTCATTGGAAATCATAAGTCACAAGGAGTGGATGCATCTGCGCCACAGAGAACGATTTTGAGCCATGTCACCAATTGTTTCCAGCCATTGGTTTTTACCAAAAGCACACGGAGCCTACCTGAGTTATCTATACCACATGATGTATTTCTCTTGGTGTTCACATCGTCTTCAAAACCTGATGAAAGCTTAACATTGTCACATACAGAAGCCAAGATGAAATAGAAAACCTCAAATGTAAACCAATTTAATCAGTTCCATGTATATGATACAGTGAACAATATGACCTGTGTGGCACGCGTGTAAATTAACTCGTTGGGCTAAATAAATTACATTCAAAAACGAATTAGTCTGAAGGTTGATGAGGCAACTGGTTAGTGTTGAAGGCTAATTGCCAACATGAGTGAAGCATAACACTCTAACCCAACTATAGATTCATTCTACAATTACTTAATTTTATCTGTCGAATACAGAAACGTGCTTTTCTAAAAAATGCACAATATTAGGCTAAGTTGTATTTGTAAAATGAGGATTTCGAAATTTTCAATAAGAGATGCATAAAAGTATACGGAGACTGCCGCCTCCATACGCCAAGGGGGTGTTTCTCACATAAAAAGTGGAACGGTGAAAATGAGAAAGTCTGGAGCTTACACAACTGACCTATGAGAGCCGGAAAACCATGACTCAGGAACTCGAAAGGATCGGATGAAGAATGAATCAGTTTTGGCCACTGGAATCCATCGGAACGTAGCTCCACTGCCCTATAGATCAGAATTAAAGTTGGAAGCTCAGGGGATGGTCGCTTACAACAACCACCTGATTGGGGTCTGGGCGTCCGGACAGTATCTCAGACATAAGTTTTACCCACAATGGAATTATAATGTACAAAAGTGTAGAAGTTCTATTTTTATACCAACTAACACTCATTTCTATTCGTATAACACAGCCGTAGTAAAAAAAGAAAAACTAAACAATATTTACTCAAAATCAATAGAATCAATAATAAATAACAATACACATACCTGTTCATAGGCTACTTCTATATTATCTCCTATTGAATCAACTAAAGTTCCTTGATCATGAATATAAGTGGCAAGTGTTGTGAATAATTCATTCACTTGAACAATATCCGATTCCAACTGTTCCATATCATGTGCTCTTTGAATATCTGCTTTAGATTCCATAGTTATCTGCTTTTGTTCTAAAGGACCTTCTGAATGTATAATATATACATATAAGAAGTAAAATTTCAAGTAGCGCTATGATCAAAACCATTTGATGTAATAAAAGTAATGATAAGGTCTGATAATCAATCAGTAAACAGTACAAAGTTAAATACGACTGAAAATCTAATATTTCAATTTTTAACTATTCGACAACACACCTGCTTGAAGTTGCATAGTTTAATACTGGGTTGAGTAATTTATAACTTCACTTTTTTACATGATAATGATGCCTGGAAGAGTGTGATTTTAGTTAGGTGTTTTTCAAAGGAATCATCGACACAACAGTTTCGAGCCAGCTATATCACAGGGAGTACTGGACAGCTGTTTCATCCTAGTTTGGGGATCATCGGCAATACGCACCCACTGGGACCCGATTCAATGGCCACTGCATGAATTCTAACTTCTACCAATTCGTGATTTAGCGCGACCCCAACCATTGTCGTAGGTGGGACATCCATCCTCACACGTGACATCTGGATGGACCTCACTGGTCACGACTTCTCCCTAGAACTTCAGGAAACTCTATCCTGCAGCAAGTCACTAGCGAGCATCAGATTACTTTTCTATAGTTTGGTTTGTAAGGGTTAGTTATGTTTTTACGAGTTAGGGTGCGTACTACCGATTATTCCCAAACTAGGATGAAACAGCTGTCCACTACTCCCTGGTTTTCAATGGTTCTCTAACTGATATGAATCCGTGATCAACTCGTAAAAACATAACTAACCCTTACAAACCAAACCATAGAAAAAAAATATATATGTCAATACGTATATAAGCAAAAGCCAACAAGTTGGCAGACGAGGCGGCGAAGACAAGATGTCAAGGGATGAAGGTACCTGACCAACGACAACCACCAGTTTACTGTCAGTGAAAGAAGTCTAAGGAAAGTCACCTACTTCGCTTATCTAGGTGGCATCCTCTAAAACTGCGGGATGTGCGGAATCAGCCAAGTCAAAAAAGCAAGACAGGAGTTTATTACTCTGAAACCAGTGTATAGGTTTACAGTTCTCATCATAAGGAAAAAGATTCAAATTTTTAACTGTCTAGTCAGTCAGTGCTTTAATATTGGCGCGAGTGTCACCAGAATTCTCGATAGCCTGCACGGTTTCATTAATAACTGCCTTCGCTGCATATTGAAGAGCAGATGGCCAGGTAAAAAGGATTAGCAACAAGGAACTTTGACAGTCAATGTATCGGTCAACAACTTAACACCCAGTAATTATTCAAAAGGAATTGAAGAAGGACAGGGCACACGCTGAAGCGACGATCAAGTGTCGTCACACGCCAGGACCTCGAAAAGGAACGACAAGCTATACATGGGTCTGAGAGTAACACAAGAGATGGTGTGATGAGAGAATGAAAGTTTGTGAGCAGTCATAGGACAAGCTAGAAGTGATAGCAGAGAAGCGAGTGTAGTTGTGGCGTTTTGTTGAAGCCCCATGTGTCATTTGGAAAGCAGAGAATGAACGGATAGATAATAATAACTAAATGACTACTTGTATGAGTTGTACCAAAAACATCCACCTTTCAACCAAGGCTATATCACAGCTGAATAAGCAATGAAGAATGTTTAATTTGTATAGGAGAACTGCAGTAGTCAATTGTATAAAAGATACACTGATTAAAGTAAGAACTTACGACTGAATGCAAAGTCATTGACAGATGGATATTTTCCTTCACTGTTAAGTGATTCAACTTTTGTCTCACTTTTGGCATGTTGTTGAACACTATTACCCAATTTTTGCAAACGTCCAAGTTGACTTATGGCTTGAGAATTTAAAGTACGAGCTCGAGCACGCAGATCGGGAATTTGTGACCCCAGCTGAATTGCTCTATAGGAAGAACAAATGAGTTTTAACTGGTTAAAATGCGTAATATTTGAAATTAGAATGGCAGTGCTTAGAAACCATGGTAAATACAATTTCGAAAACTTACATAATTATATAAAAATAACGGTGAAATGATTGAAATATCCTCAAATTAGGATGTAGAATTAGTGTTCCCTTAGACAGTAGAGCAATAACTGACACTTAAGTGATCTATGTTGTAAAAGAAGCCAAGATGGAAGAGGCCGTTAACTCAATACACACATCTGGAATATTCGCATGCTGAACTAAGCCTGTCTGAAGAAAGTACTATCTTTTTTTATAAATCCTTCCCGAGCCCTCAAAAATGAGGTTTGGTACCAATAAAACGACACATAGGAAGTTGATATTGTAGATGACTCGCATGGATTTTGATGAACTGCAACAAGATTGATTAAAATACGTTAGACTTCATCTCACACACTGCACACAAACGTCTTATCCGTAATTCAAGGAACAGTCTTGAGTGAAAGCATAAAGACTAAGTATCCCTACTGGTTACATGGGTCACACTGTAGGAGGATGGACAAACTAGACCTCTACTCATGACCATATAATGACAGAAGGTAGCCTGAATATGGCTTGTCATATACTAAGTTTTTTCTACCATGAACACTAATGGGAGCTATTCATAAAAAGTACTTAGCGACCGAATTCAGATTAACGCATAGTTTGGCTAAAGACTGGAACTCTCCACAGGATTAAATGAGCTTAGTTCCTACTACGTAAGCCTTTAGTAGTTCAGAGTTCTATGCATAGATGCTGCAAGGGTCAACACGGACTACTCTTAGTTTACTACCTTTTATCACAAAAACTAACATGAGAATCAAATAGTAAAACAAGACTAACAGTTTCTGTATAGAAGTGTTTAAAAATAGGACTTCATAAAAAGATAGGGATAATAACTACTTTTGCAGGGTATCCAAATGAAAAGATAAATCCTTGGTTGTGAGGATAAGTTTGTGATATTGTTCATTGAGGTATTTAGTGTCTCCAAACCCATTGACGACACGTCTGAATAGTTCTTCAAACTGATCTATATCCGACTTTATCCTAATAATCCTTTGCTCAGTGGCGCTGAGCTCAGCAGCAGCGTTTGACGCATTCATCCGCAAAATTTCAAAATGCCCGCTCAAATGAGTTAGACCAAACACACTGACTACATTTTATCGTTATTTATAATAATTTAAGTTTTTTAAAGTAAAATATGATAATATTTACCCTTAACATTGAAAAATGAAATTCCGTGACCTTGATCTCAAGGTGCTTGGTACTGTGGAGGAGGCTAAGGTCACTTTCTGTGAGTTCGGTACTTATGGAAATCGCATGTACCGATGAAGTTAAAGTTTATAAAGATGAGGGAGAAGAGGATGAGCAGAAGAAGTCTTCAGAAAACTTAACTGAAGACAAAGTTGGTCTGGTAATTGAAGGTGAAGGCCAGGTATGTACATTTGTTTCTTTTTTCATGATCGAAACGTGGTTTAATAACAGTTTTGAAGTTCTTCAAACTGCTCATAGATAGACATATTTGCGTATAAAGCCTCCATATCAGTATTTCTTTGTTTTTGCAGTGCTTTCGTTCATTTTAAGAGCACTCCACTTCATGTATATATAGCAAACAGTGTACTTGATTTGCATGATTCTAGTACTGAATCTATACTTATAAAGGTACTTTGCTTATGGTCTAGCAATAAGTTCAAAGTAAATTCAATTACTCTTTGGCTTTTAATGCTTGAAAAAATTGCTGGAGATGACAGGTGTTAGTAGAGATTCACCTTCAAATTTGGTTATGATTATTGTCTTGTTGAAGACTTTCTGAAAACAAATTTGCCACAATGAAAGTGCAAGTGCCTATAGTTAGCGTAGAGTTAGGATCGGATTCAACCGCCTGTGTGAATTGTAGCCTCAGCATGAAATCAAAACGTGGTTTACTAAATTACTATGGAGTACGAAAGTTAACCTGCAAGTAATGGTTGAACTGGTTTTTGGTTCCTGGTCATACTTTCCTTTTTTATTTACTCACGTCATTTACCCAGTTTTTAAGATTGTCCATAAAGAGAATGTGATTTTACTAGCATATGTAAGATTACAGAACATTAGTTCCATCCGGCATCAATCCATAAAATCTGACTGTTAGTTTGAGCCATATAGGGATGTGTACCTGCCTAGTTTGGCACCTCAAGATACAAAGAACCAATAACCGGGGAGAATTGGTGATATTGGCTGGAAGTCGTTCTCAGTGTGCACAGATACACTCACTCTGTATGATCTCTTATATCCAATAAATCATGTTTTCCCATGTCACTACTCCCATACATATCTGCTCATGAAAGTTCTTCGTAATACCAATTCCCTATCTTATCTACTCTTGCGTGCTATATAAAATGTGGGAACTTAAATTATTGTACTTCTGTGCAAATTTCTACTTTGAAACGTAGTCAGCCAGCTTTACTTTTATCCTTGTGGGTTGAATTCCCAACCAGAGACCCACCAGTTGAAATTTTAATGCTGCAACCAATGTGCCACTCTAATCTCAACCTGTTTTACTGACTCATTCATTTTCATTAGGATTTACTGTAAGGAAAGGCTATGAATTCCCATGTATTCTATCTCTTATGTTCCCTATTTTTAGTAAACTACCTATTAGCTTTATGCATGTTTAGTTCTATGATTCATATGTTTTGACTACTCCTATGTGTAAATCTGTTACACGGAAAAACGGTCATCATGATTTGCTTTCTCTTAATCATCCCTCTTATTCTTGACGTATGATAATATAACAGTACTAACCAGACTTGTGTTACGTATGCCTAGTCATCACCTTCCTCGATGGACGAGCAGTGTTAACTGACATAGGGTCACGCTGGAAAAGAGCCAGTGGCGGTCAAATCAAAACATGGCTCCATCAGTCGATGAAATCCACAACAGTTAGTTAAAGCCAGCCAGTCACATTTGGAGGTGTAGACTTCTGACTGGCTGGGGTCCTGGGGATGGTAAAAACCAATGTCGGCTGGAGACAATTGGTGATATGGCTCAAACTCATAGTTCTCAATCGCTCAGATGCATCCACTCCTTGTGACTTATAATACCCAATAAAACGATATGGTCCTTCGAAATTACTATTCTTTTCGCCTCATGTCTCTTTTTACTGTCTCTGTCTTGCATTTCTTTTTAATTTCTTCTCTTGCTTTGTGTTCTGAGTGAAGTGTGACGACTGGAACTGCTGCACATCGGTGCGAAGTTCCATGTTGAAACCAGTCAGTCAGTCAGTTCAAAATGTCTATAAGCTATCAAAGAAAACACTGTTTTAAAAGAGCATGTGTTACTTGATTTAATTTATCCATTTTTAGACTCTTCACACCATATATCACCACAAACCAACATCTTTGTGACTTCTGAATTTGTGTTGCCTTAGCCAAGGAAACTTTTCAAATACCTTATTAGAGTGGATATGGTTATTGTATTAGGCTTCTTAAATTTTAGTATAGTCTTAAAACTTTGAGTGTTTGCTCACCATTTCCAGGATCTTTTTGTGTTTTATTAAGAAGTCAGGGATAGCGTGAGATTTAGAACTTATCGGCATCACTATCAGTATTTATACAGATACCTATGCAGCTAGGGCACTCTCGTGCTTGCCTCACAACCGTGTGGTGTTCTGACTGACTAATGAATGTGAAACGTTCTACAAGGCACTTTCAGTTCATTTACAACACACTACCGAAAATCTTGCTAAGCAGTAGCGAGGAAGAAATGCAATGAAACTACAGTAGCGGTGGTTTTTAAGGGGTTGAGTAGCCTCATAGCTCTGTTTACCGTCTCTATTTCTTCTCTTGCTTTGTGTGCTAAGTGAAGTGTGGCGACTCGAATTGTAGCACTTGGGTGCAAAGTTCTAAGTTTAAACCAGTCAGTCAGTCAATCAGTAGCTACCCCCCCACACACACAGACACTCACACCTAACCTTATCTCTTTCTCAATTTTGTCAAGGTCTAGGAGTGCATTGGCCGGGATTTCAACCCTAGACCAAGTGCATGGTTGGCTGAATTAGCAAGACACATTTACAATACGATTGATTATTAGTTTTGTGAAATTTTTGTTTTTGTTTATTCTTTTTTCCACTAAGTCATCTGGTCAACATTAAATGCGCTAACAGCTGATCTGTTTGATTTCGAAGAAAAAGTGATGAATACACTTTAATCGTTTTTATGTATAGATGCTAAATTTGATTAATTGCGTAGTCGTGTACAAGTGTGTATCTACAGCATCTATTATAGGTCACCTATTTACGTGTCTACACAAAATAATTGGATAAATGCTGTGATATCCTTGACCTATATAGTTTATTTATACACAGTGCTGTGAAAGCCAACTTACTGACCTAATACAAGTGTTGATGGATTGCGTTTTAAGCTATGCTTAATTTGTAAGTGTTTTTATTGATACTTCTTTTTGTATGTGTGTCGTCTATGGTTCGATTATGGCGGCTCCACACCTGAATTCAGTTTGCATAATGAAGGAGCATCTATCAGCTCTCACAAGTCTTCCTGTGATAATCACAGAGGGATTAGTTTGACTAATATAGTACCTAAAGTCCTAGGCTCAATCATATTGCGTAGACTAAGTGGTGCTCGGGAGGCACAAACACGAGAGAGCCAGGCAGGCTTTAGACCAGGAAGAGGGTGTATCGATCATATCTGCACACTGACAGATTCTAGAATATAGGCTTTCTTACCGGTGTCCAACAATCGCTATATTTCTTGACCTAAAGCGGGCATTCGATTCTGTCGACCGAGAGATTCTCTGACGATGCTTGGCTGTAAAGGGAATGCCGAGAAAATACATTGCACTGATCAAGGCACTCTACTTGAACTCATGCAGCCAGCCAGGTGAGGGCTTACGGCGAGTTGTCATCTGAATTGGTGACGACTAGTGGTGTCCGTCAGGGATGCCCATTATCCCCATTTCTATTCAATTTCATCATAGATGTACTAATGGATTAAACTCTAACTCACTTCAGCGACTCAGGGATTGACTTGCCACCAGCGAATAATCTCGTTGCCTTAGACTATGGAGATGATATAGTCCTTCTAGGCGAGGACGCTGACAACATGCAGTCTTCTGAACACCTTGAGTTGCAATCTACACATGTTTGGAATGCGATTCGCTCCCGCTGCCAAATGTAATGTGATGCTACAGGACTGGACAACACTGACTCCTAGATGATAGATAGGGAGTGAAGTAATAGAGCACGTTGACCGCTTCACTTATTTGGGAAGTACCATCAGCCAACGCCAACGGGTTGATCTCTGACGAAATCTCTGTACGGATACAGAGGGCCATTTTCGCATATGACAGTTTACGCCGTCTCTGGCGTAAACGTGATATCCAGCTGGCTGACTATCGACCAAAGGGTTGGTGTACTGCTCATCAGTCCGCTCCGTTCTCTTTTTAATGGCTGTGAGACCTTGTCATTGAGAATGGAAGACATGAAAAGGCTGACCAGCTGTCTTTGATCATAGGTGCCTGCGCTCTACCTCCCATGTGAAGTGGTATAATGAGGTGAGCAATATTGAGGTTAGGGGTCGAGTTCTAGGTAAGGAGGAGAAATCAATCGACGACGCTGTGAAATTACATCGACTGAGATGGTTAGGGCATGTGTTACGAAAGCCTAGCCATAGCATTTCTCGACAATGGACATTGCTGGCTGACAGTATGGATCAGGTTGGAAAAGATCTAGTGGCGATCAAAGCAAAACATGTCACCAGTCAATGAAATCCACAACAGGTAGTTTAAGCCACGTAGGAAGGTGTAGACTTCTGGCTGGTTGGGGTCCTCGGGACGGTAAAAACCAATGGTTGGAAACAATTGGTAATATAACTCAAAATCGTTCTCAATGGCTGGTGCAGATGCATCCACTTCTTGTGACTTCTGATTTCCAATGAAACTATATTGTTCTTCGATATTACTATTCTTTTTGCCTCATATCTCTTTTTATTGTCTCTGCTTTGCATTTCTTTTTACTTTCTTCTTTTGCTTTGTGTTCTACATGAAGGGAGTGTGGCGACTTGAACTGCTGCACATCGGGGCAAAGTTCTATGTCGAAAACAGACAGACAATTGATTTGACCCCCACTAGCTGTTTCTATCCCAACCTCACTCTATGCCAGCTAACAGTGACCGTCGAGAAATGCTATGGCTAGGCTTTCGTAACACATGCCCTAACCATCTCAGTCGATGTAATTTCACAGCGTCGTCGATTGATTTCTCCTCCTTACCTAGAACTCGACCCCTAACCTCAATATTGCTCACCTCATTATACCACTTCACATGGGAGGTAGAGCGCAGGCACCTATGATCAAAGACAGCTGGTCAGCCTTTTCATGTCTTCCATTCTCAATGACAAGGTCTCACAGCCATTAAAAAGAGAACGGAGCGGACTGATGAG